TAGCAGTGCTTTGATTGAATTCAGAGGAAGCTCATGGCTCTTGCAATCAATACTGTGTGTGATCAGCATGCACCTCACATCATGTAGCCCTGCTTTATGTGCGTGTCACTTTATAACACCTGAAGGAAAAATACTATGTGGATGAAAACCAGTGGAATCTGACAACCCTGCACATTGGCAATGATAAACAAAATATCTCACAGGCCCCATGTCGAACTCGATGGGCCATATGCAGCCCTTGGGCCACAGGTTGCCCACCACTATTTTACTGGCTCTCTCTTTCCCAAAATTTTCTTAGTTTCTAATAAATCTAAACCCTCTTTCATATGCCATCCTTTCATACACATATTGAGACCCAAAATTCTGCTTGTCAAACTGGCCCTGAGGATGGAACTGGAAACATTTCAGAGAGTGTTGCTTGGACTTCAGTCATTTACCTAGCAGCCTAAATTTGGCCTCCAGGACCTCTCTCCTATCCTTCACTATGATACTGGTACCTTCATGTACCACGACCACTGGCTTCTCCCAGCACTACAAAGAAAGCTGCTCTGCCCCAGGCGTCCCCAAGTCAGCCGCTGCTGAAACTGACCAGCAGCTGACTTGGGGAAGTCTGGGGCAGAGCAGCTGCGGTGATGTTGGGTTGGTCCCACAGCACCGAAGGGCGGCGCTACGGGATCAACCCAGCACCCCAGCTGCTCTGCCCCAGGCATCCCCAAGTCAGCCACTGCTGAAACTGACCAGTGGCTGGACTCGGGGAAGCCTGGGCCAGAGCAGCTCCAATTGTCCGGCTGCCTGGAGCACTTCTGCATTCCAGGAGTGCCGGACCACTGGATGCCAGACAACTGGAGTTTTACTGTACATAGGCCACAGAGAAAGAACCACAGCAGTGCCCCCCAAAACCATCCACAGTCCCCTATGCCCAGTACTCCCGCTCACCCAGGAGCAGAGCCCTGAGTGTAGGCCGGATGGCTGGATTCTGGAACTCAGCACATGAAGCTGGGTCACAGTCAGATCCTGCCATGTGTGGCAGCTGTCATACAAGTGCTGCTGTGCAAGGGGTGGTAGCTGGAACCTGTCACATCTGGCAAGGAGTGGGGGCAGCTGGCACAGGCCAGCATCCATGACAGAACAAGGGGGACCATGAGCACATCACCACCTAAAACCTGGGGATGCTGCGGCAGCCTCCCCACAAACCCCTAGTTCTCAGTGTTCCTCACAAGAGTTCTCTGTAGGGTGCACAATTGCATGCTTGTGCAAGAGGAAATTAAGGAACATGCATCTAATTAGAGGAACTTCTGACTCCATTTCAGCCCAGCTGGGCTGACTGTGTGCTGGGAGACAACGAACATCTGAGTGTCATCAGCAGGCAGAGGGGGCAACTGATTCTGTTTCAGGCCAGGCTGGAGACATGCTGGGATGGCAGGCAGAGAGGAGTGGGATTCCCTTTGAGCTCCCTCTTGGCTATGGGGCTGGGAGGAGAGAGAGAGAGAGACATTCTGACTGGCGAATAGTTCCAGTAACTGTGTTTTTTTTTTTAAAGGAATCTAAACTCTTGTATCTTTACCTATCATGTCTGAGCCTCAGCTCATGTGCTGCAGTGGCATTGGCCAGGAGAGATGCCTTTCCCCAAACAATTAGGCTTTAGAATTTGTTTGGGCACGGGCATGAGTGGTCGGTGAAGATAGGGCTGGGGGAGGCAAGCTCCCAGCCTTGCCCCCCCACCACGGGGAGACATCCCACACAAGAGTCCCCCAAACACCATGGGGAGGTGAGGTGGTGCGTGGCCCCACCCTCCCCAGCCCTGGAGCACAGAAAAGGTGGGCACGGGGGGCAGTAACACTCCACCCCTAGAAAGCCTATAGGCATTCTGGGGGCAGAGTGTGGGCAGGGCCAGGCTGGTGGTTTAGTAAGGCAGTGCTTTGCCCAACCTAGAATACCAACTGCCCATGGGGACAGGTATTGAAAACCATTAAGGACAGATATTTGTTGTCAGTTCTGACTTTTCAGAGTACGTCAAATACTGCAACAAGCACTAGATTTTGTGTTATGCTTTGTAGGATGAAGCCAAAACATGTCCAGGAAAATCTGACTTTTTCCACAGGGTTCTGCTGCATTAGCAGTGTGTGGGTCCTAAAACACTCACTTAAGCTACACATAACAAACCACTTGTTTCATTTCCCCTTGTATTTTCACTGCTGTCATTTGTTTGTTTACAGTTTTGTTTGCTCTCTGTGTTGCTTTATTATTATTACTGTTTGTGTGTGTGTGAAGTATTAATCAACTCGATCTTAGAAATTGTAGAAGCCTGAGTAAATGCATTTACACTCCTTCTAGCGTCAGAAAATATTGTATTAATATTTGCTACGAGAGCATGAGATTTCTAGTTGTTTAGCATCTTAAAAGCTGAGCTATGTGTCCATATAATATGCATGCAACAGGGATGGTTTTGTGAACTGCAAAAGTCAATAGCACGATAATGTTTTGGCAGATGCTTCATTTTTCAAGAAAAGCTTTCCCTGAAGTTTAATGGTCTATGTATGGTAGGAGGAGTAGGTTATTAAATTGAGCCTCTGGTGCATATTTTTATGCTTTCACATAATAGATATGTGTTTCTGTTTTGAGCATATTTTGTTAGAAAGGATGATAAAATACATGTACTCCAGATACATGTACTAACCCTAAGCATTGTTTTAAATATTAAATATCATAGCAGTGACCTATTAATTATGCTTTGATTTAATATTCTTCTATATCTATGAACTTTAAAAAATATATACATTGAAGTGTTTTGTTTGTACTGGTGACATGTATCTGCACATTATCTCAATATCGGTGAACATACCAAAATTCAATCTGCCCATGGATGGAAAAAAATAGAGGGAACACTGTTCCCCACCCCTCCCTGCACAGAGCCCACCCTCACAATCCTTTCCACAGACTCACTCTCCTATCCCCTGCCCTCCTGCAGCACTCACCAGCCCCCTGTTAGAAGGAACGCTGGTGCAGGCTGCAGACCAGAATGACAAATTTTGAAACTTTTGGCTGCATGTGGCCCATGGGCTGAGAACTGTTATAAATTAAGATCATATTGACAAGCTAATAACTTCAACTGCAATTTTTCCTTCCTCCTCCCCTTCTCCCCAGCCCCCGCCTTCCCTTATTTATTCTTGGATCTGAACTTTTAATACTTCAGTCATCTGAAGAAGTGGGTTGTGCCCATGAAAGCTCATGATACCATCTTACATGTTTTGCTACTCTTTAAGGTGCTGATAGACTATTTATGTTTTTTTAAGTTTTTCCAGTTACAGACTAACTCATTTACCCCCTGAAGCTTTTCAACTCCAATGGCAATTTCAGCCTTGTTTACACAGGCCATAAAGCTGGGATTAACAGCATACTGACTTATCATAAAGAGTACTGAAATCAGATTTTCCTAATGTAAACAAACCTCATGGGATTAATGTTCTGGTCTTGGTTTTGAGCTTCAATTTGCTATTGCCTTTTAGCAAAACAATAATACTTTTTAATTACATTAAAATAAATACATTTTCCCAAAGTCAAAATATGAGCCATTTTGAAAGAAGAAACTTATCTATGCACATGTATATGTTAACTCAAATACAAGTTCCGCTAACTTATGCTATCACTAATTGCTTTTCCTATTCAGTGGAGTACAATTCTGATTCTTCAGAATGAAAGCTGGTAGTAACACCTATATTTAGATTGAGTAACACTTTATGAAGATACCTGCAGACTTTGAAAAACTCTCACGTCCACAATTTGCAATAGGTCTTTGAAATTTGGCAGTGGAAATGACATTTAGCTAGAAAAGTGCCTTTTCTTTGTCCAGTGAAATTCCATTCAGAACTTGATTAGAAACTGTTAGAAAAGAGTCACTGCACCTTTTCAGAAGAAGTTTGACAGAATGCTGAAATAGTAACAAACACCCCTCCCAAAAAAACAAAAAAAATCCTGCAGCATCTATCCCATAGCTAAAGTAGATACCTTCCATGACCATCACTGTTCTGAAAATCGTTGGGGTCTACCAGAGCTATCTGAGCGGGTGGAGAGATACACCAGCCAGGTTTTCCCCCACACTATCTCAGATGCAGCACAGGCCTCAGCAGCCTATTAATCCCCATTAATTTGGTTTTTAACTTTTAACACCCTCTGCTCCCTAAGAAATACCATACCAGAACAAGACAGAAAATTGTTATTTAGGTTACAGATCCAAGCACTATACAGTTAGGAAATCCCACATTAAAGATGTCTGTGCAGCTTAATTGTGCCCCCATGTGCATATGAATTATGATATAGCACTTAATTATGTGATCACATACTTCCAAAACCTTTCCCCCACACACAAAGGACTTCTACTCATTCAAAGCATAGAAAGGCCTTTCCTTACCTTTGACTGCTAGACTTTGCCATTTCTACAACATTCTTTTAATGTAGCTTGTTCATGTATTTTCCTCAATTTTGTAATATAATGATAAAGTACATTATGCATTAACTGATATTTTCCATTAGCAGTATCCATTTGAAGTATTAAAGTACTGAAATCAAGACACTAAAGGTACTATATTAAAATTAAACTTAACCTATAAATCGGAGTTACACTTGAGAAATATGCATTTATACTCAGAATGAAATCTTGGCCATACTGAAATCAAGTGTAAAATTCCCAATGTCTTCACCCATAAATCCATTTCATCTGTATTCATTTGCTTCTAAGCACACAGAGGGTGCGTCTACACAGCACTCTTTCCTCGAAATACCTTATCTCGAAAGAGCAATTTTAACAAATGCCTTAATCCTCATGGAATGAGGGATACAGGGATGCCAGAATAGTGCACCCTTATTTTGAAATATACAGGGATACCTCAGCTGCATAGACATAGCCAGAGTCTCCAAAAATACTTACACATACAGCCACTGACAAAGTTGGCTAATTTTAAATGTTACAGTATCAATCTCACAATTTTTTTAAAATTGTTTACCTGGATGAAGTGGCAACTTCAAATGAACCTGGGATTTCTGGAACAGGCCGATGTCTTAGCATAAAAGATCGAGTTGTTCTGGGAACTACTTTAGTACTTCTTTGCTCACAAGGACCATACAAGTCATTGTCCACCATTTCACCTTTAAACTCAAAGAATGAAGAATCTGGAAGAGGTGAGATTTCCACCTCTGAGAATGTTAGATGCTCATTCTCACTGGACTTGGTTTCAGATAAGTTGGCAAAAGAGGACTGAGAAATTGGTCCTTCAACATATAGTGCAGAATTGCTGTCTAAATTCAAATTACCTTGTTGTGCCTGTGTTTTTACCAGTGCAACATCTATATTAGATACTTTTTGAAAGACTGCACTTTTCTCAGTATTTCCACTAAGGCTGACAGCATCTTCTGAGCAATCTGAGTTCTGGTACAACAAACTAGAAGATTCCAGATCTAAAAAACAACCATCTTTCACTTCCAGTAATTCATGTTCAGTAAATTCACTCTTTTCTTTACTAAAAAATCTTACTGGCAATGCTCCAGATACTGGACTATCTTTAGTAATCCCCTCTGAATTTATATTGGATATTTTGGAATCCTGGTCATAACACAAAGAATGACTTTCTCCTATTTCCCCCAAGTCCTTGGGCTTCAGATTTTCAAATGAGACAGATTTTTCTTGCATTCTAGAAAGTGTGATCTCTAACTGCTTAAGAATTCTTCTGCGATGTCCGGTAGGCATTATTCCAATTTGCTGAAGCACATTATTATTTATTCCTATGCAGTCTGCCACAGTGTTATAGCCAGATTCTTTGAAGTTAAGAAGATACTGCACCAAATTGATGTTGGCCAAGAATTCTTTGATATCGGTATTATCATCTCTGGATGACATGACGACAGCTTCATTCCTGATGTAGGCTTTCAACAATACAGAAGCACAGTCACTACATCCACTTATTCTCCAGTGTAAAGTAAACAAACTCCCGAAGTACACTCTTCTTTAGTCATGCTAGAGAAAATAATTTTTTTCCACAAGTAGCAATTCTGCTTGGCCAAAGATGTAAACTGTAAACACAGGGAAAAAAAGTTTAAAAATTGGTATTTTTTCTCCACTGAACATAGTGATTGCATACACAATCTAAGCCGAAATATTGAAGGCTCTCTCTACATAACATTTTGAAATTTGTTTATCAATTTTGAGATTTCCATGTTGTAAGTAATGTAAAATCTGTATCCCTATGACTTGGGGAATAGTGAATTTTGAAATTCAGAACAAATACTTGTATATGGATTCCTTTGGAAATGTGGTTTACAAAAAGGCTCCGTTATATTCCACACCATAATCCATGTGGAACAAGGTTTAGAAAGGCAACCGCACACTCATGCACTTTTGCTTTTAGAGTTGTAAAACAGAATGCCTCTCAGGCGCATGAAATGTTCTTTATTAATGTGCTGAAGAATACACCCTGAATTGAAGGACCACGGCAAGTCTGCTACAAGCATGGGGTGAACAATAATTTTTGCCCAGGGGCCACCCCGGAAGGGGCGGGGCCTAAACAGGAAGGTGGGGGCAGGGTGCTTCTGGGCTACTCCACCCCCAGACCATGATTGCCACATGCTTCCACATGCAATCAGTACCTGGGGGCAGGGGAGCTTTGTGAAGTTTCCTTCGCCCTATCTTGGGAATGCCATGCGCTCCACGCAGGGCGGGGGGAAGAATTTCATGCAGCTCCCCCACCCCCAGCCCAATCAGGGCTTTGGGGCAGAGGAGCGTGTGATATCTCCTCCTGCCCTGCGATGTGCAGGTAGCACTTTGAAGCACTGCGTGCTCCTCGCAGGGTGGGAGGAAGTTTTGTGCGCTCCTCCTCCCCTCCCCCCATGGCCTCCAGGCCCTAATTGGCCTGGGGGTGGGGGAGCGGCAGAGCTTCCTCAGGCTGGATCAACCCACTTGGCATGCCGGATCCGACCCACGAAGGCCCTTTTGCCCACCCCTGTACTAGCATGTACAAATCAGCAAAACATAAACAAAGGAACAGAGAAGGACAGACAGCATTGCATTGAACTGTCCTGACTCATGGAATCTGACCCTGCTCTGACAGAATTCTTAATGAAAAAGAAGCTACTTGTAGCAACTCCCCTTTCCTTCACTTTATGTTGTTTGGATGTAAAAGATATGATTTACCCTATAGGCATCCAGAAATCTCTTCACCCAGTTTAAAATATCCAACAAGACCACACAGGAAGAAGTGAAGGATACTAAATCCATTTGAAGCAGCAGAAGGATTTCGGTAGACAAAATAATTACCCAAACCAAAAATCTAGACAGAGAAACGTAGTTTTGGCAAGAATTAATCTATCAGGCACTTTAGTGACTAATCTTCAAATATGTATAATTCACAACTTGACATTGTTCACCATTTGAGTTTAATGGCTCATACTCACCTGCATACAATAAAGAGAGAAAAAAAGAAAGATGTACTGCTATCAAGACATTTATGAGTCAAATAACCCAATTTCATTCCAATGACTTGGCTTGTCTCAAGAAGGGTGTAGGCTTGGGGAACCACAGAATGTGTCAGTGGTGAACGGAAATAGGAAAGTGAAGTAAATAATCAGTCAAGATTTTTTTTCTGACAGACATGTATCATTCTTCACTGCTCATAAAAATTATAGCATTTTAATCAGTTTCAAAACTAATTAACTCTGAAATACACTAATCCGTGCATGTTATAACTTTACATAACAAGAAATCATAACTATACTTTCTTTTCTAGATAAACAAAAGAGTACTTAAAAGTACATTTCCAAGAACTTACATGAAAAAATTAGAGTAACATTAAGTATGGGCCAAAATTTAGGTTTATTTATTTTACTTCCATTGGAAATCATTTTTTAAAATTCTTCTGTATTGTTTGCAATTCAAAAATTGTGCACTAGCACAATGCAGTGAGAACAGAAAATGAAATAGATTACACCTACATTTGGCAGAATTCAATTTTGACAAAGCTTTTTTTATTTCTAAGCTTTTTTATTTTTACATGTTTAAATTCGTAATTTTTCACAACTACGAGTATTTATTTCTGTTGATTTCCATTTTTTGCAATTGGGGGAAGTTATGAACAAGTCAGACACTCATTATTAATAAAAATGAACAATGAGAATTGAAAAGTTAAAACTTTACCTGTTGAAACACACTGTCAATATCACATCACAATCTTTTAAGTAAATATGCTTGTCAAACTAATAAGTTCTCAAAGCAACATTTTTCTTACTTTGCCTATCCATACTTTGACCATCAATTAATATATTTGATAGATTTGTATGTGCATAGTGAAGTTGACATTTATTAACATTTATCAATAAAATTCTAATCCTTCCAAAACTAACAAACAAAAAATACCTGTCTAACCTATATACATTGTCTAAGTTGACAATAAAAAAGTTACACTTTTAATATTGTTTGTTTAAATTATTTAATTTGATGAGATAAACAGAATTTAAGACTTTTATTAATCCAATAGTAGCCCTTTAAGAAAGAAGAACATATTCCATGTATATAATTAAACATATAAATAAACTTTGACTAAATGTTTCATTTCCCTCAGTCTGTATGTATGGTTAAAGTATAGCTACTATTTTTGGCCAATTACTCCAGATCCAGAAAGTATGCCCTGAGTAACTTATAGTATGATAAAAATTCTATCCGAAATGACATTTCTAATACTTGTTTCTAAATGTATTTGTTTCTAAATGGAAAAAGCCATCAGGAAAAAAAGGAGTTGAAATGGGCAGTTCTTAAAATATATTATATTAGAGGTTCAACATCAAACTATTCCAACACAGAGAAAAGAAAAGAGCTACCACAGAAAGTCAACATGGCTGCACGAGGAGCTTTTTAGCTATCTAAAAACCAAAAAAGGATCAATACAGGAAATGGAAGAATACATGGGAATAGCATGACCTTTTGACCAAGTTAAATGAATTCAAATCAGTAGAGCTGGATGCTATTCACCTATCTATAGAAATCTCGGCACCACTGGCAACAATATTTACAAACTCAGAGATGACACAAGAGGTCCCGGAAGACAGGAAAAAGGCTCATGTAGCATCCATCTTTGCTGGAGAACTACAGAGCCATCGGCTTTACTTTGATACCTGGGAATCTATTAAAGTAGTGCATTGAATTTGTGAATACTTTGGAGGATGAAAGAGTGAGTGATCACTAGCTGCCAAGAACAAATCATATCAAACCAGCTTGATATCTTTCTTTGGGAAATGTTTTGGTGGATGGGAGAACTGCAGTGGATATAATATACCTGGACATCAAATAGGCTTTTGACACAATTCCATAGGATAGTCTCCCCTAAGTAAGCTGGAGAAATGCAGGCTCAGTGAAATTACCATTAAATGGATCCATAATTGGTTAAACAATTGCAAACAAAGAGTAACTATTAATGGAACAGATTGGAGGGAGAGGTATCAAGTGGAGTTTCACAGGGATCTCTTCTGGGTCCAGTGTTTAGCATATTTTAATGGCCTGTTTGTAGATGGAGAGAGCATACTGATCAAGTTTGCAGAAAACTGGAGAAGAGGGGTTGTCCATACTTTGCAGGACAGAGATAAAATTCAGAAGGATCTTGATAAACTGAAGGACTATGCTATAGACAACAAGATTAAATTGAACTCAGAACAATCTAAAATGGTACACTTAGAAAAGAAAAGCCAAATGAACTGATTGGGGAAAATCTGGCTTGGCAGCAACATTGCTAGGGAGAATCTGGGAGCTGTGGTGGATTACAACCTCAACATGAGTTAGCAACATGATATTGTTGGGGGGGGGCAAGCGAACACAATTTTAGGTTTCATTAACAAATGCATAGCAGACAAGTCACAGTAGTGATAGCACCACTCTGCTTGGTGCTGGCTAGGCCTCAGCTGCAGCACTATCTATAATTTTGGTCACCAATGTATAGAAAGGATGTCAAGAAACTGCAAAGGATCCAGAAGTGAGTGATAAAGATGAACAAAGGGATGCAATACAAGCCAGATGAGCAAAGGTTGAAAGAAGGGGGGTATATTTAGTTTTGAAGAGGAGATTAAGGAGGAAACATGATAGCAGTCTTCACATTCTTGAAAGGCAATTGTTCTCTTACTACAGAGGGCAGGATAAGAGGCAGTGGTTTACACCACAGCATAGCAAACTTAGATTAAATCTCAGGAAGAACAGTTGGACAAACAAATAATCTGCTTCATAAGGTTGCAGAAGCTTCTTTACTGGAGATTTTCAAAAAAGGCTAGACAGCTATTTGTCTTGGAAGAATTAGACACAACAGCTCAAACATGCTGGCAAGCCATTAGAATAGATGATTGCTGAGGTCTCTTATAAATCCTATGATTTGGTGGCAGTGGCATCAGGAGTTACATGGTTTTTTAACAAAATTATCAAAAATTCATTTGATAGCAAAATGTCAGCTTCCCAAAGGCCCCTGACCTGCTTATTTAATGCTTAAGTAAAAGATCTACATGTTGAGCAGAACAACAAATTAACCGCTTTATTGTTAGCAGCAAGACTTTTTATTGAATACTATCAGAAAAAAATGTGAGTTTCCCTCGTGTAAAACTGTGATAAGACTGTCCTTGTCATGTGACAAGCTTTCACACTAAGGACATATACAAGACACATGCCAAAAATAGCAGAGATATTTTAAAAAAATGAAGTCCCCCCTTTTAGCATACTTAAGGGGAGGGAGTTCCCGATCCAGCAAGCCAAAATTCTGGTGAAGTTCTTGGCATATGAACTTGATTCTGAACTCATGACACTGTGAATCACAATGCTTTATTATAACCTTACCTTAGTAAAAAGATTTTTTTAAATGAATGTGTGCCTATAGCCATCACATCACAGACTGTGGGAAGAAAAAAAAACATGAACATATTTGCATTGTAGCAGAAGTGGCAAAGATTACTATAACAAATGTGCTATAAAAGTTCCATTTAGAATTCTGCTTACAAGGGCTCATGGCTTTTTATCGGTGGAGATGAAATTTTCCAGCCTTGGTTGCTCAGCAAGTTTCATGTTTATTTAAAGTCAGAGCAAAAGTAGTTCAGCAATTTCAGTATGAACACAGTTCTAATTTTTTAAATAATTGTAACTTCTCTTTGGTCTGTAGAGATTAAAGTTCAAACTTGGTAGGTATGCAGCAGGGGTAAGATGGCTGGGGGTTGGAGCTAAGAATGGGTCAGGGATAGAGCCTAGGGCCAGGGATCAAGTCTTGGGGGCAGGACAAGAAGCGGAGTTGCAGCTGGGCCACAGCAGGTGCTAGTAGCCAGGCACAGAGCCAAGGCTGGGGACTGGGGTTGGGGCACGGGTGGGTGGTGCTCCCTCCCTGCCCTAAAGGGTTCATCCCCCACTTTGGGAATCACTGATATACACTATATTTCCCTAATTTGTTCATGAGAAGATAATGCAAAACAGCTTGTAATCCCTGGGTGCGTACATTGTACTTCTGCGCATGTGTCATTCAGAAATTTGAAGTTAGAAATATAAACCTGTTTAGATATTTAGATATGCTAGTGAAGGCCATTAGTAGTACTTCAGGAACTTAATGGCCTGCTACTCAAGACAATGATCTATGAATAGTCTCATTTTTCCTGAAAGCCTGGACTATTGTTGGTTCTACCAAGATATGTCACCAGGTCACTTGATACTGAAAACTACTTCTATGGGGGTGTGAAATGGTGCAAGCTGATCAGGATTCCTGCCTTGGGCAAAATCTATTTATAGGCAAGAAACCAAACAATAAAGGGGAACAACAGTTGCCAGACACCAACACAACCTCAGTGTATCACCAAGATGACTGATGGAAACATCTAAGACTGTAACGGGGGAAGGATCCCGCCCAAACTAAGAGGCTGCCTAGCTTGAGAGAGAGATGATTTAAACTACTGTTAGGGTAAGAAATTGCATGTAACAAGTTTCTTAGAATATAAAGCTTAGCTGGTGTGTTGTTTTATTTTGCTTAATAACTTACTTTGATCTGTCTGTTATCACTTGCAATCTCTTAAATCCTAATCTTTATATTTAATAAAGTCTCTTTTATTATTAAACCCAGTGTAAATAATTGCTACCTTAGGGGACAACTATTGTGCACATCTCCCTTGTATTGATGAGAGGGCGAACTTAGGAGCTTGCTGTTTATAAAACTTTTATACAAAATAAGACTGATTTATGGAGGGTTCTGGCCCATCGAGGCAACGACCTAGATGCTGCATCAAGTCGCTGGGACTGAGCCTTCCTAGAGCTGAGCTGATCTCAAGTGTCTCTGTTGCTCTGCTCTATGCTGTGATCCTAGCTCTATGACTTTGCTGGCAGGAAACCATAGGATCTGGCTCATCAGGAAAGGGTGGTGGGGCACTCCAGAGGGCAAATGGGTTGCTCATATGAGCCTGCCTATCAGGTGTCCTCCTCAAGAGGATTGCTGTGACGCAACCCATCACACTTTCTCTGTCAACTGTCAAACTGTCAACTCTTTTGTACTGTTTTCCCCTTGCTTCCCATGGGATCTTACTGACCAGCTCCCTGAATTGCTAAAGTCTGCCTTCTTGAAATCTATTACCTGTTTTGTGCTGTTTTCCCTCCTACCAGTCCTTAGAACCATGCACTCTACCACTTATATGATCACTTTCACCTAAGCAGACTTCCACTTTCGAACTCTCAAGCAGTTCTTCCCTATTTTTCAAAATCAAATCTAGAACAGCCTAGTAAGGAACGTGGGCTGCGGGAAGGGGAAAGAAGGAAAAAGACCAAGGGTGGTATTAATGGAAACAAATTTCTTACTTTTTAAAAAGTCCACAGATAATCATTCTGCCTACGCTCTAAAAATAATCTCACAAATATTTGTAGCCCTAGACATTGATCCATATTATTATATATCTTTAATAAGTCCATCCATGCTGGGGTTTTTTTTATTAGAAATACTGAAGTGATCTTTTTAAAAGTTCTGTCCAACTGTCAGCAAAAAATGTGAATAAGAAAGTAACATGCAGAAACAAAATTAATTTTCAGCCATTTCGGCCACAAGATTAAGAGGGGCAGTTAAGAGATGTAAAAAGTATTTTGTGATAAAATATTGCTCAGTGTTTCCACTCTGTTTCAAAATGTTCATCTTGTCAAATTCTTCCACCTTTACTCATTTTAAATAGCCTGCAAGAAATACCAGTAGACTTGAGGAATAAGGTTCATTGGAGTAAGCAACTACTCTGCATAAAAAAGCAGAATATGGCCCCAAGTAATTCACTTCAAGGGTAGAATTAGTTCAATGAGGCATGCCTAGCTGCTGCAACAGCATTTGTGCATAGTTACACACACTGTGTCTTGTCTAGTGCTTTTAAAAGGTCATAATTACTATACAGGTTTTTCAAAAAACCAAAGTTCATTCACTGTGTGCTAAAGCGTCTACTGATGCATGGATTGTTTCCAGAAAGGCTGCATTAATCGGTCCAAAGGGCTGAAAATAATTCTCCATTAAGGAATCAAATAGAAATTACAACATTAAAGAAAAAAAGTGGTAAAGTTATTTTAAGATGCAATCAGATCTTTAAAACACACACCCCACTATTCAACTCCCTACCTGACTACTCACACAAAACTAATAGTTGTTGAAACATTACACAACATGAAACCGGATTCATCCTTAACGAGATGCCCACTACATTAGACTCTATTTAACATCAATTGTAAATAAACTAGCAACCACAAATTAGTAACTGCCTGTCAGCCTCAGCTTTGCAGGGCACTGCTGTTTTACAAACAAGAATATAATATACATGAGTTAATAGTTTTCCTAGGTGTCCGCAACTCGTCCGATAGCTATCTTTAATGAGGGGCTTATCTGATAGATGTTAAAGAAACAAATCAGCTGAATAAGAAAATCCCCAGGCAGTTTGGGGGATTGGGACTAGTTTCCTTTCAGAGACGCCCACGCATCAGCCGTTCTTGAAACCAAACGCGAAATTAACAAAAATGTGGCAGGCCGGAGCCGTACACCGTGCACTTTTATGGGAACTTGCAGAGCGGAGGAAAAACCTTCCCCCCAAATCCTTGCAAGTAACAAAACTTTCAAACTCCCTTCCCCCTTGGGGCTGACTTACCTCTGTGCGTTGGAAGAGACGGGGCTGAAGGAGGAAAGTTGCACTTTACATTCCCCTTCTGTCTGTACTTTCTCTTCCTGCTCCCCTCCCGCCAGCCTCTACCCTCGGCTTTGCCCTGGCAGGCGGCGTGTACGGACGATCCTAGCAAGGCTCGGAACTGGGCGCCTGCCTGGGCAGGGAACTCCAGAAGGGCGTTGCTCGCAGCACTGGGGACAGGCAGGCAGCCCGGTGCCGGGGAGTAACCCTGCGCACAGGGCCCTGGTGGGGGCGGATGCTCCCCGGGCGTGCTGGAGGAAGCGAACTTACAAGCTTTTGCTTTGTGCAAGTTTGCTGCCGCAGCAGCTCTTTGCTGGAGGTTTCACGCATGCCTGGGTGCTGACACACTTGCAAGGGCAGCAGGAGCCGCGTTCTGAAAAGGCCAGGCTGTTAACACTAGAGCGTCCCTCCTCCAGGGAATAGTGATAGAAATGTAGCCGTGTTAGTCTGGGGTAGTTGAAGCAAAATGCAGGACTATGTAGTACTTTAAAGACTAACAAGATGGTTTATTAGATGATGAGCTTTCGTGGGCCAGACCCACTTCCTCAGATCAAATAGTGGAAGAAAATATGGGTATGGTTGTGCACTATAGAACATGGGTATGGTTGTGCACTATAGAACAGTGCTAATAAAATGCAGTGTTTAACACTATGATTTTCAAACCTGAGTACCTGCTGTTGAGCACCTAAGTAAAAGTTGCTGCTGTTGTCAACGTATGAAAAGAAAGACATAGGAAACACATCCCAGTTGTGAAGGGTGAGTAGAGTACTGGTGTCGGCCCGTGTGTGTGTGCGTATGTAAGAGAAGGCTGTGAGGTAGCAATGGAATCTGCTTTTGAAAGCTGGCTTGAGCTCCCTGATATTAAATTCATAATGTGCAGGGAAGCCTGCTCTGGCCTCCGCTGCCCTTTGGTTGCAGCTGAGCTGGATGGAGATATTTTTCAAATCCCAGCTCCAGGTAGGGTTGCCAGATGGTTTCAACAGAAATACCGGACAGGCTTGTCATTACATCACAATCTACATTACATATTATTTAGAAAATACTGGACATTTTTTTATTTTCTCATTTATAGATTCTCAATTTGTTTCCCGGAACAGAAAACTCAAATACTGGACTGTCCAGTTCAAAACCAGACACCTGGCAACCCTAGCTCCATGCCCATGTTCCTGCCTCGGGTGCACACAACCCAGCTCAGAAACGAGAAACTTGTTTCCTCTTACCAACCTTTAGTTCTTGGCCTGAACTTGCAGGGAGAGTGCAGCAGAGGCATGAGCTGCCTTTGGCTCTTTGCAATTATGGTGTGCATCCCTGTGCCAGGCAGATCCTTGAGTATACCACACCCAGAAGGTGCATGGGTTACACTTGCTTTCTGAATGTAAAAACTATAGTTAGCTTAGCTACCAGTGTAACAAACCTGTGGCCACCTACAACCAATCAACATCACAGTTGCCTACTGCACCCTGTGAAACCTCATTTCAGCAGCAGTTTAGGAATAACATACCTATAGTGCAGTGGTTTTCCAACATTTTAGGCTGTCTACACCTTTACACATAATTTATTCTACTGTCTGAGATAGGGTCATAATATACCTAAGAAAATGAGGAGAAGAAAGTTTGTAAGGAATAACATAAGGTGTTGTTACAGTATTTTTCTTACATATCCCTTTATGAAGAGCTCCAGGGGCATGCATATCCCAGTTTGAAAACCATCATCTAGTGCAAAAAAAAAAAAAAAAAAAAAAGAGTGCTATACCTTGAACTGAAAAACAAAATCTCCATTAGTAGAAGCAGTGTATTGCCTAAGAAACACAGTTGAGAAGTTCTCATATCACTCAGTGGAAGGCATTGGTACATATGTAGACAAGGTTGTTAATTACATTACAGCTACGTCTACACTGGCATGATTTTCCGGAAATGCTTTTAACGGAAATGTTTTCCGTTAAAAGCATTTTCGGAAAAGCGCGTCTAGATTGGGAGGACGATTTTCCTCAAAAGCACTTTTTGCGGAAAAGCGTCTGTGGCCAATCTAGATGCGCTTTTCCGCAAAAAAGCCGCGATCGCCATTTTCGTGATTGGGGCTTTTTTTGCGGAAAACAAATCTCTGCTGTCTACACTGGCCCTTTTGCGCAAAAGTTTTTCGGAAAAAGACTTTTGCCCGAACGGGAGCAGCATAGTATTTCCGCAAAAGCACTGACAATCTTACATGAGATCGTCAGTGCTTTTGCGGAAATTCAAGCGGCCAGTGTAGACAGCTGGCAAGTTAAGCGGCTGCTTTTCCGGAAAAAGTGGCCAGTTTAGACACAGCCTACTAGTTTGTGGTTTGCATGATCATTTGTTAACTATAAGTATTACAAAACAGTTCAAACATATGTTGCACCTTCTGTCTCCACTTCCAGGAACATAACTGTAGCATTCTTAGAAGTGGAGAAGGAAGGTGCAGCCTTCCTTAGATGTATTTAGTTTCACATTCACTGACTTACACTTTTAGCTCAGCTCCAAATGAATGCATACAAAAATCTAAACAAAGGTAAGGGAGTCTGAGTTGATGTTTTTGTATTTGCCAGTCTGTGTGTCAAAAGTGAGCTCTATATGAAGAAAAAGCAAAAACAAGGATGTTACAGGAATGTGTAAGATAAAGCAGACCATTCTCTTACTTACATATTATTACAACTTATTCTGGTTTATCAGGATGTATGTTAGACTAAATTAGATTCTCTTAGGGTGTGTCTACACAGCACCCTTACCTTAAAATAAGATACACAATTTGTGCTATGCAAATTGTGTAGTTTATTTCTAGGTAATTTCAAAATAAAGCACTATTCTGACAAATCCCTTAACCCTCGTGGAAAGAGGATTACAGGGATGCTGGAATAGCGCACCCAATGTTTCAAAATATATTTCAAAATAACGGGTACGTTTAAAGATGCAGAATTGCTATTTTGGGATACTTCTGTCTAGACATAGCCTTACACATCAATAAACAGGTAAGATTAGATCTAAAAAAATCAATGAATGAATTCAGGGGAGTACAAATTTACATCATTTCTGCATTTGGCAATTTAGGTAAGTACAGCCAATAAACACGTTTTTAAACGAGTGCAAACTGACCTTGGGAGCTACAGCTGTAAATCTCACATTTTATTCCCATCTGTTGGTCAGCACTACTTTTAGAAAGGAGGAGGAAGAGAAAGTTCTCCTTTCTCAGACCATTGTGGTGTAGTTTCTAATACCACACAGGATACTATATTTTTATATTTGATTGTTTTAACTAGGGGTCAAGTAGGGCGAAAATGGAAATATTCTTCTAAACTACCCAGTGTCCCTGCTCCAGCTTCCATCTCAACCATGTTTCTGTAAAGAATCTTTATCCACAGTTTTACTCCCCCCCTCCACAGCTTACTGGCCCAGGAGCCATTTTTCCAATCATATCCATCTACAGCCTTCTTTGTTTGGCTGCCTGACTTAAGGGCCTTTGCCCCATTTCCATTACTATTCCCATTCCTCTGTATCTGTCCTGCCCTAACTCCCACAGGACAGGTGTCATGGGTTATGCCAGATGGCAGCAGATCCCAATAACATGAGTGTGTCAGCAACAGTAGCCCCTAGTAGAAAAAGTGCTATCGCCAGATGAGAATGAGATTTTGGCTGCCTCTGTATTGACCAATGTCACAAACAGTAGGCCTGTGGAAAAGACTAGGAAAGTAGAAAATAAATGTGGTCTTCACCTCAGTGAGGTGAGTATACTAGGATTCCTTCCAAGACCTCTTTCCAGTTGGCTTGCTAAGAACTCAGTCAGACTCTGGAATTCATGCCTCACTTATCTTTATTTGGCATACAGCAATGCTATGGTGAAAAGACTGAACCCCAATGGGTGGATGCAGGGTACATCACAGATTCAAAGTTACACAGAAACCCTCTTCCTTTATATACAATTACACATACAATTGCATTAATTTACTTTGCATCACACATTTTGGGCCTGGCTTGGTTACTTTGTAAGAACCAGTGCCCCACAGCAGTGGTCTCCAAACTTTTTAACCACAAGATCACTTTTTCAACTTAAGTGCAATGTAAGATCTACCTCAAACTACGGATGTTAAGGACTAGTCGACTATCCGATAAGCAAATACTTATCGGATAGTTGAGTCAACTAGTCGATTCCCTCCCCCCTTTCTGCCTCAATCCGCTAGAGGCAGCAAAGGGGGAGGGAAAGAAGGGTACTTCAAAGCGGCAGTGCCAACTACTGAGGCTCTGTGCGGCGCTGCTGCCTTGAAACACTGTGGCAGAGCCCAAGATCAGCTATGCAGCGCTTCCTGTTTGAACTCCTCAGATGATTCCAGGCTCTGCACGGCACTTTCACAGAACCCAGGATCAGCTAGGGAGTCACTGTTTAACTGAGATGGCTTCCAGGTGATAGAACAGTGGAGTTAAGGCAGGCTTACTCCTGCTCCGGCGCTACACCACTCCTCAAAGCAGTTGGCATGTACAGCAATGGCTCCATGGTGCCATGTGTTCCCCTCATCTACAAGCACTGAGCCCACAGCTTCTAATGACTACAGTTTCCCATTACTGAACAATGGGAGCTTCAGGAGTGGTATCTGCAGGCAAGGACACCATGTGGAGACTCCCTACTGTACCTCTCTCTGGCTGCAGGGACATGCCAGCCACTTCCAGGAGCAGCAGTTACCACAAGGATAATTACTCTAGCCATGACAGGTTAGACATTTTAGAGCTCACTACTCAAAGAATTACATTTAAGCGTAAGAGGGCAATGAAAATTATGAAATGCACAGACAGTCAAAAACTAAATATAACCCACTTTGCAAGCAGTAAAAGAAGTAACAACAACCCTGCACATATGTGTTGAGTTGGGAGATGAGAGTGAATGACGGAGGCACAAACATTGTGTGAGAGGGACAGAGATTTGCATTGCCAAGCTCCCTCCATCCCCTTCAGTCTGTGCAGAGAGAGGATACAGAAAGGGGGGAGGGACACTCTGACATCAGTACTCCCTCACCCATACTGTCTCTCTCCCATACCCTGCACAGCAAGCAGGAGACTCCGGGGGGTGTGGGGTGCAGCTCTAAGGCAGAGGGCAGCAATAGCATGACAGTGTGTGGAGGGCAACTGAAGTGCCAGCGCTTGAGAACTTCCCGGCCAAACCAGTCA